GTCACACCACAGAAGAAGGGATGGAGATAATTGAATAAACATTTGGGTGTAAGTGAGGTTAATCAAGAGGAGAGCAGATTCTAGAGTAGGAAAACAGAGCTTGGAGTTTGAATTCAGACTACAGGGGCACTGGTGTGAGAATTGAGAACAACCTACATGGTGGGTCATACTTTTAATCTCAGTACTCAGAGTGTGGATCCAGAAGGATCACCATCAATTCAAGGCCAACCTGAGTAAAGGAAAAAAAAGTGATAACTGCATTATTGATAAAAAAGTAACCAGAGATCCATTTAAAAGTCCAAACCAGAGAGGGCTAGAAAGGTGGCTCAGAGGTTAAGAGGTCCTGAGTTTAATGCCAGCAACCACATGGCGGTTGTGGGTGGTTCACAACCATCTGTGATGAATTCTGGTGCCCTCTTCTGGCAGGCAGGTATGCATGCAGGCAGAACAGTAGATACATAATAAATAAATAAATTGCTGTGTTAGCTTACTAGACCAGCTCTTTTTTGTAAACAAGACCTAGCTAAGAATCAGAAAAGAGAAGTAAGCAAGCAAGCAAACAAACAAACAAACAAAAACCCTCAGATTAGGAATCAAAATAACATTGAGGGTGAAATGATTTTAAAAGACAGCCCGAGTTTGCAGACAGGCTGGCAATATTGATGCTGTAATGGGGTACACTTCAAGGTGAAGTCTGAGTTTGTTGTTTGTTTTTAACTTTTTGGTATTATTTATGTGTATAGGTGTATTGTCTGCATGTGTCTGTGCATGCAGGGCAAAAGAGGGTGTCAGATTACTTGAACTGGAGTTACAGACAGTTGTGAACTGTCATGTGGGTGCTAAGAATTGAATTAGGTCCTCTGGAAGAACAGTCAATGCTCTTAACCACTGAGCCATCTCTCCAGTCCTGCTTTTGGGAGGGCAGGTTCTCACCATATAATTCTGGCTGGCCTGGAACTCATTGTGTAGACAAGTCTGGCCTCGAACTCAAAGAGATCCATCCACATGTCTCTGCCTCCCAAATACTGGGATTAAAGATACACACCACTACACCCAGAAAAATGGTCTGTGTTCAAAATCAATTTAAATGGTCTAGGTTCAGAGAAACCTGAAGGTTAAACAGTTCACAAGAGGCCTGGGTGGTGGTGCCCTCTAGCACTTAGAATGGGCACTCATGAAGTTCAGGAGTTCAAGGCATCTTCAGCTACACAGTATTTGAGGCCAGCTTCACTTACATGAGACCCTATCTCTAAAACCAAATGTGGGCACAGATACATTCTAAAGGAGGCAGAGGCCAGAGGATCTTTTTGAATTAGAGGCCAGCCCAATGTACAGAGAGGGAGTTCTAATTTATTGGGATCATGTAGTAACATCCTACCTCAAAAACAAAACAAAACCCAAAACCAACAAAAAAGAGATCTGGGTTTGATCTAAAACCAGAAGAGGCCTTTAAACTGTTGGATGCATAAAGGGAAACCAAGACTGTTAAACAGCAGGGTTGTCTTTCAAAATAAAAGATGTATAACCCATTTCCCTACAGAGCTTGGAATGGAGGTGGCTAAAAGCCTAGGTGATCCTTTCCCTATCTGTAGGGCCAGGCCATACAAAGCTCCCACAAGCAGGACCAGACAGAGGTGGCTATAGCCTAGGTGACCTTTGCATCATATGTATGGACAGGAACTCCTTCAAGCTCCCCCAGCAGGACCAGAGGTGACTGATAGCCCAGACGACCTCTATGCTATCTGTATGACTGAGACCACACCAGATCCTCCCCTAGGCCCTTAAGATAACACATGTAGCCTATCTCTAGAACATATTTTCATGGAATAAGTAACATGTACTTTGAGAAGAATTTCAATGTAATTATGCCTCCTTGTACACAGGGAATTGTGTTATACTAACAACCTTCTTTCCAGATTGTACTGTACTTAAATATGCCTACAATAAAGTGCCCTGCCCAGTGTCAGCCTCTAGAAGTTGAACCAACACCAGATACTGAGTTGTGATGAACTGGATATTTTCATTATTTCATGCGCAATGGTGCTTTTGCCTGCATGCATGTCTGTATAAGGGCGTCTGATCTCCTGGAAATGGAGTTACTGACAGTTGTGAGCTGTCATGTGGGTTCTGGGAATTGAGAATTGAACTTGGGTCCTCTGGAAGAACAGCCAGTGCTCTTAACTGCTGAGCCATCTCCCCAGGCCCTGAACTGGATTTTTGATATTCATTTTATAAGCATTGGTGTTTTGACTGCATATATGTCTATGTGAGGATATCAGATCCCCTGGGACTGCCATATCAGTGCTGGGAATTGAACCCAGGTCCTCTGGAAGAGCATCCAGTGCTCTTAACCACTAAGCCATCTCTCCAGCCCTGGATTTCCTTCTTGCCTCATAAGTATCATTACTCTGCCAATCCTGGTGTTTGCAGTGACAATTCTCCCCCCACATTAAATTTAGACTATTTAATGAAAGTCTGCGTTCAAATTAACAAGACCTCTACTTAAGAGGCTCAGCATTTAAGAGTACTTGTTGCTCCTGCAAAGGACCCAGGTTTGAGTCCTAGAACCCACATGGTGGTTCACAATAATCTGTAAAACTGTGGTTCCAGGGGATCTGGCACTCTCCTGTGACCTCCATATATATGCTCCAGTCACCCATGTGCAGATTATATGTGTGTGACTGCAGAAGCCAGAAGGAGGGTGGATCCACAAGAACTAGACTTACAGGTGGTGTGAGCCAACTGATGCGGGTGTTGAGAACCAGACTTGGGTCCTCTGTAACAGCAGCAAGGACTTTTAACCTCAGAGCCACCTCTCCAGCCTCCAAAGGAGGTTTCTATGGAGTCTGATATCAGACCAACGATATGTCTTGATAGTGAGTTCACAAAGGCCCAGCTGGAACAGAGGGTCAGTGGTGATGGGATATTAACCCGAGACCTAGATTTAAGGTTGAATCAAAGGAGATTCATCCAGAATTTCAATACTGAATACTAAATACTAAAAGGTCATTAGTGGTGAAACAGTTTGGAGTAGTTCAGGATTAGAACCAAGTAGAAAAGGTCATGAAATAGTTAACAGACATAAGAGTGTGAGGCATGCCAAGAAGAACTGATATTGACTAAGGTTTAAGATCAGGGTAGTTAGAGAAAAAGAAAATAAAAGGCCAGGGGGCAATGGGGGAGAAATAAACCAAAAGAAAATAGAGGTCAGAGTTTGAGGGAAGATCTGAAAGGTATCAACAGGGGACTATTCTACCGAGGTTCCAGAAACAGCAAGTGTGGAAAAACTAACAGAGGCTCCAAGTTTTCAGGTTTCAGACCTGAAGAGCATTGCTCATGAGTTAACCCAGGTCTTGGATATATTTTTCAAGGCTTGGAAAAATATATTGAGAGTAGAACCATGGAGTCCCAAGTTGGAGTTTAGGGTACCATGACGCTGAAGGATGGATTAAGGGAACTGAAGGTAAGAGTAAAGGTCCTGAAGGTGAAGGCATTAACAGAGCTCCAGGTTTTGGAGTAGGCCATGTGGACACCAACAGCGGTAGAATTTAAAGTGTCTGGTGGCTAGAGAGATGGCTCAGTGACTATGAGCACTTCGGAGAGTCTAGATTTGCTTCCTGGCACCAACATGATAGCCTACAAGTAAGTCTGAAACTCCAGTTCCAGGAGATCTGACACCGTCTTCTGGCTTTTGTGGATAGCACAGATATTAGTGGCATACAGATGTACATAGAGGCAAAACAACCATATACATAAAGTCAGAATTATTTTATTATTATTTTTATTGTTTTTTTTCTGCTTGAGACAGGGTTTCTCTGTGTTGCTTTGGAACCTGTCCTGGAATTCACTGTGTAGAACAGACTGGCCTCGAATTCACAGAGATCCACCTGTCTCTGCCTCCCAAGGGAATAAAGGCAGGCATCTGCCTGCACATATCCCTGCATGCCAGCAGAGGGCAGCAGATATCACTACAGATGGCTGTGAGCCACCATGTGGTTTCTCGGAATTGAACTCGGGACCTCTGGAGCCATCTCTCCAGCCCCTATACTTTATTTTTTAAATTTATTTTTATTTAATGTGCATTGGTGTTTTTGCCTGCATGTATGTCTGTGTGAAGGTGTCAAATCCCCTGGAACTAGACTGGTAGACAGATGAGAGCTGCCATGTGAGTGCTGGGAATTGAACCCATGTCCTCTGGAAGAGCTAACCTCTGAGCATCTCTCTCACCCTTAAAATTATTTTAAATTGAAACAAAAAAATAATCTAAAGTATCTGGCTAGGCTTGGTGGTGCATGCCTGTGATCCAGCACTTGGGAGGCTAGAGCAGGAAGATAGCTAGAGGCAAGCTTGGGCTAGAGAGAGAGACTCTGTCTTGAAACAGTGTTTGAGTTTGAGGCCACAATAGATAGGCATTGGTGAAGGAAACAGTAAGAAATGCTCAGGGACAGGTGTGTACTGCAGTGGTACAGCTTTTGCTTAGCACACAGGTCTAGGCTCTGCCAAGATCTGAGGCCAGATCAAAGGGACAGTAATGGCAGAACAGTTGACAGTGGCCTGGCCTTAAGTTTAATCACATGGACATCAACTGTTAGTATAGAGGTTGGAACTAGTAACATTAGGGGAACTGATGGTAAAACAATAGAGTTCCAGATACAAGGTTAAGATTGAGAATTATCAGCGCAAAAATAACAGAAGTCTATATTTAAGTTCAAAGTCAGGTGAGTAGACAATTGTTGGCGGAAGTGCAGGTTTTCGATTTGACTAGTGGTACACACGGGTGGAGGAACAATTAAAGAAATGCTCAGCTTCAGGCTCAGCCCTGACTTGCTCTTGATAGGGTAGCAGTTAGCAAACACCCAGGGTCAAGACCAGACAAAGGGCATAGAGCAGGATTAGATTTGAGAGGAAAGTAAGGCAGCATTGATGATGCAATCGATGAACAGAATTCTGATGTCAAACCAGAGACACAGTGATGACAGACAAATTAAGAGAGGCCCAAGTTTGACCAATAACGTTCGTTTTTATTCTTTCTTGTTTGCTCAGTGTTTAGTTTCTTTTAGGTTGTAAGTCAAAAGTGTCACCAAGATAAATTTAAAGTAGACTTTCAACTCTGCCACCTCAAAAATTTTACAAGGAGGAAACCCCCCCAAATCATGCAAACAATATTCATCATCAATCATCCTAGAATCAGACTCATTAAAGAAAACAGAGAGCATGAAGAAAAGAAGGAAGTTAGAGAAAAGTGGTATTTCCCCAAATTATCTTGCTACCTACAGGCCTTGGTTGAAACCGTATATCTATTTGGTACAGTTAACGCACAGCTCTGAACTGCTAACCTTGGGAGGGTCTCTTGAAAAATTAGCATCTACTTGGTGTCTGGTACCCTGCCCTGTATCTTTCAGGTGTACTGTCACAGTCCTCATAGGAAATCATCGACACTGAAGCTGGATTAGGAATGTTGGCACATATCCATGATTTTGACAACGTGACCAGTGCAGCACCTTATCTCCTAACTATTTGCCTACAATCTGTCTGATGGAGCCAGAAATGCTTTTGGCTACAAGCTATCATAATGTTAAAGGAGACTAAACAAAAAAGAATTAGCTTCTCCCACCAAAGAGCTGCTGTTACTGCCACAGCTCAGCGACACTGTGCTACGAGGTTGCTGACTCTGACGTCCCACAATGTCAGCTGAAGTTCCAACTGATGCAAATGTAGCAGCATATGGGTCCATGGGATTAGCCATAAGGGCCCCGGTGATTCTTCAAATTGAAATGTCTTCATGACTCTAACTACTGACAATGATTTTGAAACTTATTTCCTTGCCGATACCCAGTGACGAACAATAGTATTTGGTCCAAGGCTTAAATTAGGGCCCTGGATGGACATGGGAGAAGATGGGGGGGTGAGCTTACAAATTTCCTATTTGTTCCTCCCCATAGCAGGAACTGTAATTTGGCACAAGTCCATGGCTGCCTGCACGCCAATCTGGAACTCCAAGAACTCAACGCTTCTGCTCCCTGTTTGGGAACTACAACTCAATGCAGAGATAAGTGCGACGTCTATCCAGACAGAAGCTGTCAAGTTGGGGAGTTTTACACCTAATCTGATGAAACCTCTGGGGTTGAACTCAGCATTGCTCCCTAATTTCCCTGTTGCTGTCTGATCCCACACCCCAGTCCCCCTGCTCAAGAAAAGCCAAGCTCTTCACCACGGCCCAAGAGGCGCTAGAGACCTTTCTAATGTCACCTGTCACACTCAGCCTGGTCATCCTCTGACACACTCCAGTCTTAGTGCCTCTGCACTCACTTTCCTTTCTGTTGAGGATGTCTTTCTATCCCCAAACCACAACTTCCCTCATTTCATTCAGATCTTTAAAATGTCACCCTGTCAGGAACACTTTTTCTCATGACATTGCCCAAAGAAGCTGCCATCCCTCTTCCCCATTCCTGTATCCTCATCTCCTTTCCTCCGTTTTTCTTCACACCACTCATCTTTAACTATCCTATAATATACAGATGCTTTTCGATTAGATAGGCCTATACCCCAACCAATCTGCCTTAACTTGAACTATCATATTGAAAACGCATTAATGTACCTAACCTACCAAACACCCTAGCTTAGCCCCACCTACCTTAAATGTGCTCAGAACACTGACATTATTCTACAGGTAGGCAAACTTACCTAATGCAAAGTCTATTTTAGAACAAAATGTTGACTAGCTCAATGTAAGTTACTGAACACCATACTGAAAGGGGAAAAACAAGACTGGGTGTATGCGTGTGGTTCTGTAGCACTATAGGGTCAAAAAGTTGAAAAACGATAAAACAAATTATACTCCAAGGAATGGCTGTACTTCATCTAACTTTGCTCTCCTCCCCTGTTATGCAAGCACACAGGGGCAGGAATTTCTGTTGGCTGAGGCCACAGCAGTATCCCTCTTTTACAGAATAGTTCCTGACAACACAGTTGGTGCTCTCATTCCTGTCTGCGGCTACATGATACATCACAGCAGATACTCAGTGCTGGTCAAATGGATGAACACATTACTGCACAATTGAGGAAGTGGTCCCCTTTCCACTGGAGGTCTCAGTGCTCCCTAGTGCCTCCTTGTGGCAGACCTTGGAGTTGCCCCTCAACATAATCACAGAAATTTTATTTACAACACAAGACTGGAGTGAGAGAAGGGAACAGTGGGCAGTGTAGGGCTGGCAGAGCCCTACTTTTGCTCTCGTCTCCAGACGATGACCATGCCACTGGCGTCACTGGAGGCCAGCAGGCTCTCGTCGCAGTTGAAGCTGACATCAAGCACAGGCGCACTATGGCCCTGCAGCTTGTTGACAGCAGCCTTGGCTGCCCGCTCCACATCAAAGAAGTGAACACACATATCCTCACTGCCTGTCACTGTCCAGATGGGAGGGAGAGAGAATCAGGAGGTTACTGTGGTACCCTAGTAGGAAGTCCTTGATGTTATGTGAGGTGCGAGTGCCTCATGTAGCTTGGGGTAGTCTAAAAGGAACCATCCCTAGATGGGAGGTCATCTGCCTCCTTTGGTTCTGTGGGTGGAATGTGAGTTTTTAGGGAAGTGTGGAGTCTGTGTCTCAGCTATGAAGTTCCCAAGCTCTTTGTGGCTCCATTTCTAAAGCATCTAGGCATGATATCACAAGGTTCAAGAAGTCATGGCATCAGGGTGTTATGATGACAGAGCCAGGCTGCACTGGTGTCTGTGTCTTCCCCGTCACCCAGGTCCCCTGCTCCTGAGCACTCACCCACACAGGCCCCCTGGCGGAATGACATGAGAGGGCAGAAGATACTGCGCACAGGATGTGAGCTCTGCTCAATGGGGAAGCTTCTCTTCAGTTGCAGCGTCCCTTCGTTGTCCACCACTCTGAAGAGAAGGCAAAAGAAAGGGTCAGGGCACAAGCTCAGCCCCAGGAGATGACCAGTTTATGTTCTGAATCCTGTGCCTGAGATATTTACAATGTTCAGGAAATTCAGATTTGTTTCCACTTGGAGACAGAGTCTTACAATGTTGTACAAGCTGAGTCTGAACTCAGACATTCAAGTGATCCTGCTTCAGCCCTTAGAGTGCTGGCATCATAGGTATATATTATCACCCCGAGCATTTTTTCAATTTATTTGTTTTCATTTTATGTGTGTTGCTTTTCTGCCTGCATGTATGCCTATGCACCATGAGTGTGTGTGTGTGTGTGTGTGAATATATATATATATATATATATATATATATATATATATATATATATATATATAAAACCAGAGGAGGCCAAAAGAGGGCATTGGATCCCCTGGATCTGGGATTAGTCAGCTGGGTGCTGGGAACTGAACTTCAGTCATCTGTAAGAGTAACAGTGCTCTTAAGTAGTGCTGCTAAGCCATCTCCCAGCCCCTAAGTATTTTTTTATACTGTGTGGTTCTGGCTGACCTAGGACTTGCTGTCGATTGGGCTAGCCTTGAATTCATAGAGCTCAACCTCCCTCTGTCCCACAAATACCATGATTTAGGGCATGAGCCTTTCCCCTGCCCAGAGACAGGGTTTCTGTGTGTAACAGCCCTGGCTGCTCTGGAACTGTCTTTGTAGACCAGGCTGGCTTCAAACTCAGAGATCCATCTGTCTCTGCCTTCCAAGTGCTAGGGTTAAAGGTATACGCCACCATGTCTGGCAGGGCATGAGCTTAAGTCCAGCTTTAAAAAGCCTAATTTTTTGAAGTGAGTCTGGTCATTAGGTTTTGTACCCTAGCTACAGTATTGTAACATGACAGAGATGGTGGGAAGAATGAATTCTGTCCCCCAAAGCAAAAGAACAAAAAAATAATATAGGCTGTGGGTGAATATCAGTGGCAGAGTGTTATTAGCATGTACAAGGTTCTGGGCTCAATTCCCAGCACCAAATCAAGAAAAAAGAAAGGGAACTGGAGAGTTGACTCAAGTGGGTAAAAACCTTTGCTGCCAGGTCTGACAACTTGAGTTCGATTCCTGGAACCTGCATGGAAGGATAGAACAGACTTCCACAAGTTGTCTTCTCACCTCCATATGCGAGCACTCATACTGGCATGCACATACTCAGAGAAAGAAATGAGAAAAAAGTTCAAAACAAAGAAAGGGAAACAGTGCTGGTATTTTTATTTAATTATAGTATTGGGAGTGGAATTTGCAGCCTCATACATGCTAGGCAAGTGCTCTGCCACTGAGTTACCTTCTTAGCCCTTTCTGTGTTTTGGCTTAGTTTTCTTAACTGTACAATGGAGACAACAACAGTATCTGCTTCCCAGGCTGTTATTATGAGGATTAAATAAGATGGTATGCATGCAATTCCTGGAACAGGGCCTGGCCATAGCAATGTTCATGTAGGGGCTCATTACTGCTACTCCTATTTATGTTGCTACTGATATCATAACATCCTATTGTACATTGTACAATGTGTACACTGTAGGTCATGTTATCACCATACTATGGTGTGTGTGAGTGTGTGTAGTTGTATGTGCGTGTGTTTCTGGGGATAGAACCCAGGGCTCTGCACTTTCTAGGCGAGCACTCTGCCAAGCTACATCCCTAACCTTACCATAATACTATGAAGTCAGACCTCTGTCCTTGGTGAAATTAATGTGATACAGACAGGTCTTGTTCCACTCTGATGGGAGGGATGGGCCCTCCATGCCCAGATGGTCCCAATGTAGGAGGAACCCACCTGTAGAGCAGCAGTTTGTTGAGGCAGGCATTGATGAGCAGTGAGGGGTCCCGTGCTTCACGACTGACCCAGGATCGGGCGGAGATGCTGGTTACAGGGCTGCCCTCATGCACTACTAGTCGCTTGGCTTTGGTCAGCTTCCCTGAATCAGTGGAGGCAAAGGTCAGGACAAGGACTGAGTTCTGGGAGAATAAAAAGGGAGGTTGCCTAAACATAGGTCTGTGGCCTGCCTACCTGTGGCCATGTCAAAGAGAAAGGAGAAGATGCTGCCACGGTCATCACCTGCCCAGAGAAGCCGGCCAGGGGCATCAAAGGACAGGGCAAGGACACGGCCTGTCAGCTTGCTGGAGCCACCCTTCACTTTCTTGCCTGTGGAGATGTTCATGACATGCACATTGTGCTTGGCATTCCCCACCTGTGGGTGGAATACATACACCATCATTCCGACCCATAGAGTCTTTCCTACTGCCACAGTAGGACTATGGCAGGCACATTGGAAAGGGACCCAGGCATAATTCCTGCTCCCTAGCTATCCCCTCAATAGGCTCACAATAGGCCAGTTGCTCATGAGACTAAGGCAGTCTCAGAGCCAAAATGCTGCCACTTGGCCAATCTGACAACTTGGGTTTACAATATCCTTACATCTTTCCCTTGCACTCTGGACTGCCCCCTTTTGAAGTCCATGAGCTACTACCCTTGAAGTGAGACAGAGCCCCAAGAAGCTCTAGCTCACTCATGGCCTGTTGTCCCCCTATATTTCAACTCCCTACCCCCAGGCCATGCCAGACTTTCCATGTCCTTCCTCTGCGCTCTGACCAGTCTGTCTTGGAGTCTGACCACAGTGGGGCTGCCACTGACAGACTAAACGAGCTTTCAGCCTCATCATCTGCTCCCTAGCAGCAGCCTCTGTAGACAGAAAACTGTAAGACTGTGGTTGATGGGGACAGAGGAATCCCAGGGTCATGACCCCCAGCCCAGCCCAGTCCAGCCCAGAAGTCTACCAGAGACAGCAAGGCCATCCCAAACCATGAACTGTGCTTTTTGTTGATCTGTTTCTCTTGGAGTCTGACCACAGGCCTGCTGTGACAGGACTTGGGAGTATTAAATCTTATACTCTGGTGCCCCAAGACAGCCCTCCAGACCCAGCATGCCCGCCCTTGGTGAGCAGGTATCCTGGAACCTGACCACAGTGAGGTTGTTGTTGACGGGCTGGAAGGTGCAGCACAGCAGTTCAGCGCCATCAGGGTCAGGGATCTCACGGATGCAGCGGCCGTCCTCGGAGGCCCAGATGCGCATGGTGGCATCGAGGGAGGTGGACACGAGGATGTCATTGGAGAGGGACCAGGCGAAGTCGGAGACGCCACGCGTGTGGCCCCGTAGCACATGAAGCACAGTGGGTGGGGCAGGCACCAGCTGGCACAGGGAGATGCTGCCATCCAGTGAGCAGCAGGCCAGGCGGTGCCGGTCGTCATTGGCGAAGCGCACCCTTGGTACTGCAAATGCCAAGGAGCCATTTGTGGGAGTCAACACATTCACTGAGCACAAGGAATGGTAGCCTCAACAAAGGGCTTTCCTTGGCTCCAAAGGCAGTTGTAAACCTTAGAAAGCTCACTGCCAACATGCTCTTTAAATCTTAGCAGGTACTTTGAGGACTACAAAGGTCTTCTGCAATGCAAAAATGCTTGTACCGCATTATTGAGGACAATAATCAAGTTCTCGGGAGTTTGTAAAACCCTTCACAGAGTGTGGCTTACTATGCCCTCTGCAAGGAAATTATCATTGGCAAAGGCTTCCCAGTGACTCATGAACTCAGGCAGCCTGCTAAAAAGGGCTCTCTTGAGTCTCTGTGGCTCTTCACAGTACCTAAAGTTATACAAACTTTGCAGACCACTTTGTAGGGGGCTTTTGCATTTGCTAATAGTTTTGTGAGTGGTAATTTCTCCTGCTGAGGTACGGTGCCAGAAACCCTGCACTAGAAAAAAAAATCGATGTCTTGGGTAGTTGTTTGAACAAATGTTTGGTGATGGGTCCCAACACCCATTAGCTTACCTGCCTCATCCACGTGCTGGTCAAAAACATGGTACATGCCTGCAAAGGCATAGTTTTCACTCAGCGATGTGTCCCCAGCCATGGCCCGGCTTGCCTCTGCCACCGATGTGGGTACCACACTGCCGGGAGGCCTGAGCCCCAACAGGAAGTAGGGGGCAATAGGAGTTAGGTGTGGGTGTTCAGACTGCCATATCCCAGGGCCCCTCTCCTCCTGTTGACCCTCCACCCCCTGCCTGCCTCTGGCATGTACCTGTCCTCATAGACTGCCCGGTTCATTTGTGCCTGCAGCTGGTAGGAACCTCGGCTGACAGAACGGCGGTGTCCTCGGGCCCCCAGGGCTCGAGGATCGTCTTCAAAGTCCTGCAAACAAGAGAGAGTCAGGGATGGTACATACCTCTAATTCCAGCACTTGGGAAATTGAGGCAGGAAGATCACTGAGCTCAAGGTGTGCCTTGGCTACATAGAGAACCACTGAAGTCTGAAGCCTTCAAAAATACGAGCAGACCTGATCCCCCCTCACCAATGTGGCGCCTGCCATGACTATCACTGCTTGCTTGCACTGCCTCAGTAGTTTCTTCCCTAGTGCCCCTGTTTCTGTCCTCACAAAGAAGAACTACTTTGCCCCCAGAAAACCACTCAGATCAGTCTTCCACTTTAGTCAGGTTTTGTTGTCATCTCTTCAGAGAAGTCTTCCCTATGAAACAGTTTCCTCCTTTAGCTCAAAGTAGTGACTTTTCTTTTATATGTTTAAATGTACGATTTTATTAATTTATTTTTACATTCCGATCCCAGTTCTCCCTCTCTCCTTCCTCCTACTCCTCCACTTCCCCGCTCCTCCCATCTGCTCCTCGGAGAGTCTACTCCCTCAGGAAGTCTACTAAGTCTGTCCCATCATCTCCTTGAGGCTGGACCAAGGCACCTCTCCACCCCCACCCCCGTGTCTAGGCTGGGCAAGGTATCTCTCCATATAGAATGGGCTCCCCTAAGTCAGTCTGCACATTAGTGTTAGGTCTTGGACCCACTGCCAGTGGCCTCATATATTGCCCCAGGCACCATTGTCACCTATATTAAGGGGGTGTAGTTCGGTCTTAGGCAGGTTCCCCATTTGTCAGACCCGAGTGAGTGACCTCTCACTAGCTCGGTCAGTTGATTCTGTGCATTTCCCCATCCTGGTCTTGACTCCTAGTAGTGACTTTTTATTCTTCTTTGCTATGTTAGGAATAGAACCATCAGCCTCACACATACTAGGCAAGTACTCTATTACTGAAATACATTCCTGCACCAAACTCTCATTCCTTTTTGTCTCCCAAGTCGATTTTATGTTACTATCACAGCATTCTCTACTACACCATGGTAATTATCAACTCATTAATCTGACTTGTTCTGTTTATCTAATTCACTGCCTGTTTATCTTGCTTATTGACTTAGTTGCTATATTACTTCTTAGTCTTCTGACACTGGAACAGTACTTTTGTATGTCGCCTGTGTTGGACAAAAGACTGGTGACTATGGAGGTAGGGGAGATACATGGCAGGTGGTGCAGTCAGGCGCTCACCTCCATTCGGTCAAGGGTAGTGCGGCTGCTGCGGACAATGCTGTTGCTATAGGCACGGGCACTGCCTGGCTCAGAGAGTGGCCCGTAGCGCTGGCCCAATAGCTGGCCCCGTAGCCTCAGGTACTGCCGACGCAGTGCTGGGGGGTGCCCAGCCTTGGCATTCTCCCGCAGCAGCTGGCTGCGCCGGCGAATATACTGGGTCCGAAACTGTGGAAACGTTGGTGTGCGGTAGGCGTTGTACCTGTGGGGTTCAGGAGGCAGGGCAGGCAGCAGGCACAGGACAGAGGGAATAAGTCAGCTCGAGGAATAGGGTAGTGTAATGAGGTATTTGGCAGTGATTGGGATGTTAAGAGTGATTACCAGTGGTAAAGGGGGATTCTTCCTGGTACTGTGGTGGGGGTAATATTGCATTAATAACGGGTATGATGAAAAGGTCAGTCTGGATACAATATAGTCAGTTTGTAGCTCTGTTGGGGTCAGTCTGGGCCAACTATATTATCAGTCTAGCATGATGACAAACATCAGATTGGCAACGGAGGTTAGGGCCAGGGAATGACAGAGGTTAGTATGGGGTAGCAATTGGGTAATAAGAGTAGGGTAGTGGTATCAAGAGAAGTTGGGGAAGAGGATTGGCAATAAGGAGCTAGATAGGAAGTCACCAGCCTGACTTCCACTACCCACCAGAAGACAGTCTCTTTGCGCATGTCTAAATCTAACCGCATTTTCCCAGCATGCTCTTTAGAACCCTCTTTGACCAGGCCACTTCACCGCTGGAATATTCCACACCAAGCTAACTGCGCATGCTCACGCAGCCGCACCAGCCAAGTTCTCCGCCCAGCCTCACTTATCGCCATTGCTCATGCACCACAGTAAGTTCCGCTCCCATGGGCTCCAACCCCACGCCTCACCTCGCGTCCACTGCTAAGACTTGCTGCCACACCGCGGCCATTCCCTGGCTTCCTTCTATGGCGCGTCTGCCTGCGGAAGCCTGCAGGGCAAGGGCTTGGAACGCCGGCGTCCCAGGCAGAGGAAATCTAGTTCCGCCCCTTCCACCAGGTGACAGTTGCCATAGACACGAAGTCCCTCCACACAGGTGATGTCGCGAAATCCCACTGGGTCGCTAGCATGGTCATCACCCCAGCCCTGCCTTTCCTGGGCAGCACTCTTGGTGACTCACAGCAGCAATTCAGACATGACCCCGCCCTCCCCAGTTGCCTTAGCAACGCCCCTCCCCCACCTAGCAAGTCTTGTTTGACATTCCCCACCCATCAAGCCCTCTGCCTCTGCCTCCCCTTTTCTGGTCCTAGAGCATAGCCTAGGACCCAGGACCACCTCCGGGGCTGCCCCTGGCTCTTGAGGCCCCCGGGGCGGCCCAGAGCCCGGTGTCCACCGGTTCCTTCTCTGCTCCTGTCTCAAGCTCCAGGCAAGATGGCTGCCTGCAACCAGAAAGAGCTGCGGAGCACAGAGCAAATCGATAGGAACCTTTTCTAGGGCGTGGGAGCCTCGCAGGCGCATTAAAGGATTGTAGTTTCTAGTACAAGGACAGAGGCTCCACCCCTTGAGTTCTATTCATTTCCCCCTTGCCACCGTTTGTATACACAGGGGTAAAGTACTGGGGTCAGAAGGACAGGGTGAGCACGTCAACCACTTGCTAAAGATCAGAAATAATGACGTTCTTGTGAAAGCAGCACAAATTTGGCCAGGCAAAACTTCAATAAAGTCTATGAAGAGATTGACTCCTAGAACACTGTCTAGTTCTTAGAGCAGTGATGACTCTCTGGACACCTATGTGATGAGAAGAATCCATTCGTGTGTTTACTGGGAGTAACAGGATTTGGATGGCTGCCCCTAGGAAACTTTAAACTTGAGTGTTTTAAATAACAAGATGCAATTAGGAAAAAACAGCTTTGGAGTTCTGACCCAAGGAAACAATCCCAATTGTTTAGAATATGTATTTCAAATATTCATCTCCAGGTCAGGAAGATAAACAGAATTTACAAGGCTGAAATTCAAGATGTAGGGCTAGCATAATAATAATCCTATAGAGGGGGTTAAGTGGGGGGGGGGGGAGACAGAGGTAGGAGGATCATGAGTTTGAATCCAGCCTGGCCTACATAGTCAATTCCAGGCCACCCTGAGCTACATAGTGGGAGTCTGTCACAAAAAGCAAGCAAGGTGGCGATGGCTCACTGGGTACTGTTTGTTGCATGAACTTGTTGTGATAAAACACTGACCAAAAGCAACTTGAGTGAGGAAAGGGTTTATTTCACCTTACAATTCCCAGGTCACAATCCATCAGGAAGGGGAGTCAGGGTGGACAATCAAGCCAGGAACTGAAGCAGGCACCATGGAGGAACACTGCCTACTGGCTTGCTCCCCAAGGCTTGTTGTGGCCTGTTTCTTCATACAGCTCAGGCCCACTTGCCCACAGGTGGCACTGCCCACATCAACCATTAAGAAATTGCCCTACAGACATCCCTACAGGCCAATCTGATGGATTTTATTGAGGTTCCCTCTTTCCAAATGACTTGTGTCAAGCTGACAAAAAAACTAACCATCAACTAAGTACTGTTTTTAGGTTGCCTGAAGTGAGGAATAAAAATAGGTGAACTCACTTTGTAGATCAGGTTGGCATTGAGCTCAGAGATCAACCTGCCTCTGCCTCCCAAACGCTGAGACAAAAATCTTTATTTCAGGTTTGAGCCAGGCAGTGATATGACATGCCTTTCACCCCAGTATTCACTCAGAAGGCAGGGGCAGGAGGATCTCTGTGAGGCCAGTCTGGTATTTGCAAGAAACCTCAAAAAAAAAAAAAAAAAAAAAAAAAAACCCACTGACATTCTGACATTTTAAGTTGGTCAGTGGTTGCTCAAAACAGTACTCAGGAAGCAGAGGCAGGCAAATCTGAGTTGAGGGCCAGCTTGGTCTACAGAGTTAGTTTCAGGTTAGTCAGAGTTACACAGAGAAACTCTGTTGCAAACAAAACAGTCAATAAACCAACAAAATAAAAAGTAGGTCAGGCTGGCCTTCAATTGGATATGTAGCAGAGGATTGATTTGAATTTCTGATCCTCCTGGTTTTTTTTGGTTTATTTCGTCTTTTACCTCCTCACTGCTGGGATTAAACACATGTGCCATCATGTCCCAGATCTATTTGAATTTTTCTTGAGGCTCAGTCTTGCTAAATTTCCCAGGCTGGCCTGGACCTTGTGATTCTTCCAAGTAGTCAGGATTACGTTATTTATCACCACATCCAGCCAATTAAACGTTAATAGGAATGTTGTGAATCCTGTTATTGAACCTGGTCTATAGAATTAAATGGTGACATTCTGTTTACCTCTTTCTTAATATAAAGAATGCTATCATCAATGTTTTACTTCTTTGGGAGGGTACACCCATACTACAGTGCATGTGTGGAAGTCACTGGATGACATGTAGTTGTCAAGTCTGAGTCTCAGGGATCAAGTTCATGTCCTTGGCTTTGGCAGCAAGAGCCTTTCCCCATTGAGCTATCTTGTTGGCCCTTCTCTTTTTGAGCGCTCTTTCAGGACGGTTCAGGTCAGATACTACAATCTAATGATAGGAGTCAATGTGAATTAGTCATTAAAGCTTAAAGCAAAGGTTTTGTGCTAGCTTTTGTGTGAATACTTGCCATTTTAAGAAGCAGTGTAAATTTTCAAAAAATAGTATAACTTGGCCACTAGGAGAGGCTCTGTTGATCTCTGGCAATTCATACAACCTGTTTGTGACTCAGTCTCTTCATCTGAAAAAACCCGTCTCACATGTGAGTTAAATGAGCCAATGTGTAAAGCTTTGGCTAGCATCTGGAATAGATGCTAGATTTTGATAATTTTTCATGGTTAGGCGAGATTTGCCTGCCATTGCCTCCCAAGTGCTGGTATCAAAGGTGTGTATTACAACCACCTGGCTAATACTTTTTTCTGGGTTTTTTCAAGACAGGGTTTCTTTGTATTGTTTTGGAAACTATCCTGGAACTATCTCTGTAGACCAGGCTGGCCTCAAACTGACAAGATATTCACCTGCCTCTGCCTCCCCCAGTGCTGGGATTAAAGGTGTGAGCCACCAACACCCGGCTTAAAATTTTTACTTTCAAAAATTAGCATACAACATGGTTCAAGATCAGACAAGTAGACAATAAAAGTTAATAATTGGGGGGATGTAGCAATATACACCTTTAATCCCATCACTTGGGAGGCAGGTGGATCTTTGTGAGTCTGAGGCCAGCCTGGTCTATAGGGCTAGTTTCAAGATAGTTTCCAAAACAATACAGAGAAACCCTGTCTCGAAAAACCAAATATTAATTAACATATATTTCAGTGACCCTCTTCACTTCTCTAATAATGCTTTCCCCTTCTCATGATCCTCTTTCAGTTTCATGTCCTATATTTACTGTTTTTATTTAATAAAACTAAATGGACACATTTGTCAACGTATTTCAGGTGCAGAGGCCGCTGTTAGAACTACAGCCACCTCCTGCACTTACTCTGCAATTTTCAATTTTTAGGGGTTAGAGAGATGGATCAACATTTAAGAGCAGGTTTGCTGCTCTTCCAGTAAACCCTAGTTTGGCGCCTAGGATGACATCAGACACCTCATAACTGCCTAGACTCCAGCTCTAGGAGATCCAATGCCTTCTGGCCATCGCAGGCACGCACACAAATACATCTTTTAAATTTCTATTTTTTATTTACTTACTATTCTGAGACAGGGTCTGTTATGCAGTCCTGGAACTCACTCTGTAGACCAGGCTGCCTCCACAGAGATGCACCTGCCTCTGCCTCCCAAGTGCTGGGACTAAAGATGCACACCACCACACCAAGTCTCCTTACAATTTTTAAATCATTTACTTGCTCTCATAGATGGTATTACATACTAAATTTACGGGACATACTGGAACATTATTTGAAGGAGAGACTGAGGCGCAACTGGAAAGAGATAGTGAACACCTTTTTCCTGTTCCCAGAACTCAGAACCTAGAGGCAGGTGAATCGGAGTTTGACGACAGCCTGATCTATAGAAACTGTGTGTGGCCCTCATTTCCTGATGGGGAAACTTACCTGTTTCTAAAACCATATAAGCTAAGGGTGACATCCTGGACTCAGTGACTCACACCTCAATTGTATGTCTGGTGCCCTGGGTTTGCTGTCACAGCCATTATTGCCAAAGTGGGTGTAGCTTTTGACTCCTCCCTTGTCACATCTCACTTGTCTTGAAAAAACTATATATCCTTACCTGGGACTTGATGTGTAGAAAAGGCTGGCTTCAGACTAGCTGATAATTGTTTCAGCCTCTCAAATGCTAATGCTATAGGCCTGCCTGCATCACAAGCTAAACTCATCCCATGCTTTTCAAGCATCAGTCTGTTTCCCTATCATAGGCTCCACCCACTTGTCCTCACAGCCTAAGTCCTGATTCTTCATTGAACTCAAGAGGTTATTTCTGTATGGTCTTTTGCTTGCATGTATGTATATTTGACCATATGCATGGCTGGTGCCCATGGGGTTCAGAAGATGGTGCAGAAAAACTTCTGGAATCAGTGAGCACTAGGAATTGAACCCAGGTGCCCTGCCAATGTAACAGGTACTTGAGACAGTTTTGCTACATAGCCCAGGATGGCACCAAATGACCCTCCATTCTCAAGTCTCTGTAGCATCTGAATAACAGGCATACACCATCACACGCAGCTATGTTCCAGTCTGCCCCCACCTGGACCACTGACTTGGACTTGCTGTCCTACTGTGCTTGCAGACTACTGAACCCTGCCAAGCCAGGCCTTTCTACCTGCCTGCTTCTGTAGTGCTGTCAGGTACTCTAGGCCTTAGCCAAGACTGGTTGCATGAATGTTGCTGTGAGACTTTGGGTGACTGTCTAGGTAGCCTGCTGTTTGTCCTTCCTGCACATTGGCAAGTTGCCCATCTGCACTTCATGCCTACCCTAGCATTGTCATCTTCCTTATGTCTTTGATGAGGTTGAAGACTAGACTATCCCAATTCCTAAGTAGGAATATTAGGTACTAAATTTAAGTTTTCCAGCTTAGGACAACTATATTGTAACATGTTATGCCTTCATCCTAGGACTAGATATGTAGGTCTTGAAGTTTGTATGTTGATTTTCCTTTTCTTACAGCATACTCAAGAGTCACTGTCTTTGTTTATAGCTTTGTAACAAGCCTAAGTCTTTTCTTTAGAATATTCACTGTTGCATTGATCATGCCCTGTGGGGGTAGGAAACCCTGGATTTCTAGCTTGTCTGGGTAGCAGTCAGAGGGCATCCAGAGGCATCCTTGGGGTTAGAACCTGCTGGCCATGTTTTATGTTACTTCTCTCTGAATCTATTTAGCCTGTTTTCTCCAACCCTTTATTTTCCCATGTTATCAAGCTAGTCCTCACAGTAAACACTTTCCAGACTGAGCCACGTCCCATCCCCTAGAGGGTTTTAGACAAATATGAAACAGAAACAGGAGTTGCCCATCACATTCCTGTGTGGTGGCTAAATGGAATGATACTAATTATTTTTCATCTTTTTGAGATAAGTTCCTGCTTTTAACCTAGGTTGGCAGAAGGTTGTAGAAAAC